CACACACACACACACACACACACACACGAATGCATTTACACGCACCAGCGCACTAGAGCTATACTTATTTATTCAGCAGTTCTTCTGTACTGCATACCAATCCGCCATCAAACGATTATAGTCATCTCGAAACTAGACGTGTCAAGATAGTCGTACGCATGCGCAGTGCAAGCAGCGCGGACCAATTAGGAATACAAGGTCAAACCACATTTGGTGTTATTTCCAACGATTTCGACACATTTTTCACCACAAATTGCGAGCATGGTAATGATGATGACGATGATAATAGTGATTTTTTGTGGTGGTGATGACGATGACGACGATGCTGATGATGTCTTTCACCACCAACGGCAGCATTCATTCTGAGCGCAATCATAACCAGCATTGCCATCGTCATCGTCGTCGTCATCAACAGCAACAGCTGAATCAATTCACCAGCCGATCTCAGCAACGGCGTCCTCCTCTCACTACTGCCGTCATCGTCACTCACCATCGTCACTACTGCCGTCATCGTCACTCACCATCGTCACTACTGCCGTCATCGTCACTACTGCCGTCATCGTCACTCACCATCGTCACTACTGCCGTCGTCGTCACTGCCGTCGTCTGCCATCATCCACTTATCCCACAGAACCTTCTCGATCGAATTCCACACGTAGTACTTGACGAAGCCGTCGTAGAATTCCTCATCGTTCATGTAGCGTTCGTCCTCATAACCCGAGTCGTTGTTCGCAGACGACGCCTCGGCGAATCTGGTCGCCATCTTGAGGCGGCCCTCGCGCGAGGTGCCCTTATCCACGGCTGCCTCACTCCGCAGCACCCCAACACTTTTCTGCTGCGTTAACCGTTCCTGTTCACATGTATCGCGAGTGTAACATCCCTCGATCGACAGACGAAGAGATTTCCGATGCAGACGCCTTGAGGGAGTAGGCGCAAGTTACCACGGTAACGGTGTCCCGCTCACAGAGTCACGAGAGAGATATATCCAGCTCATAAAGCGATAGATGCATCCTTGTAACAGCAACGCAAGCTCGAAAATGTTTACCTCTACCAGCGCCAATAGCTTTGTTATGTCGACCTCACAGTATAAGCTCGGATATATCCACCCGACGATGACACACGCTGGCTTATATCCAGCCGACAATAACGCAGGCTTGTTGATTCCCAGCCGACGGCAAGCACGCGCGCGGATACGTCGCCATCAAAGCTTACAGGCGCCTTCCCGACGTCCGGCGATCACACACATAACCTTGCTAATGTCCGCCTCAGTTCACAGTTACACGACCTTGCTGCGCGTCCAGCGAACGACAAAGTGGGTGTGACAAGTGTGCACCTGGCGACAACCCCCGCTCGACCTGACGAGAATACGGACACGCTCGCGCAATCGCTCGCTCGTAAATGGCAGGCGCACGCAGGAAACCTGCCTAGCGGCTGAAGAGTGCTTATCATGATCAGTTCCACTACGGCGCGGTCGGGCCGGCAGGGCGTGAGTGCGCGAGCGCGGCCAGATATCTCACTGTGTGATACGAGCAGCGTACCACTTAGCGGGAGCACAACGCAGCCGCTGCGTGAGGGAGCGGCTGATGGATGGATGCACCGGTAATGACTAGCGTTGCTGCGGAGATGGCTCCACGGGACGAGTGAGAGCGATGCGCGGCCGCCTTGCGTTGACAGCGGCATTTGTCACCGCGCGACGGGGTAAATGACAGACTAGCGCGGGACAGCTGTCAACGCGACGACGACG